GTCAAGGGCAGACATCGTCTTGGCATTGTCACGATCTAATCCTAGGTTCGTGGGCAGGTCAATTAACGCAGTGGGTTGAACAAAGGTATGCTTACTGTATATCAGGGACAATTGTGCTTACCCTACCTACGAAACAAGGTTGTCTTTGGGGCCCTTGTGAGACAGCGTAAGAGTCCGTGAGACTCATGCAAGTTCTGACTCCGAAGATTTCATTCGTACATTAGTAGCTGGGAACCCAGAAGGTATTTTCCTGGAAAAACAGTATGATACCTGGTGGTGAAGTTCCCAGTCTAATGCTACAAATTTATGTCTAATGACCCTGTTCCTGGAGTACAACACATAGTAGTGGTCCTACCATCAGCACCATTATGGGACATCCAATTGTGGGCACTGCAGCTGGAACTCCGGGAGTGGCAAGACAGAGTCCCTTGGGGGAGGGGGGAGAAGAAAATTGGTACTGAACAGAAAGGAAGTGGCAGAGGTGAATGTCAGAGCTTTAATGGGGAAAGAGCACACGGTGAGCTTGTGGGGGGACCTTTACAAATGTAAGGATTTGTTAGGTGCAGGCAATAAAGCACAGGCTGTGGCACTAGAAAGTCCTACACATAAAGCTGTTCAGCACTTACTCCCACCCTCCAGCTCACCATCTCCTCCACTCCTCCTGCTCTCTTCCCCACATCCATTTTTGAAATCTTTAGGGCACACGTAACACCGCCAGCACTTCCCTAAGACTCATGATGCAAAAATCCACTTTCTCCATTTAAGTGACTAATAGCTCTATATAAAATAGAGCAATATGTGATACGTAAATGTATATTATTAATGACAGAAGGGCCCTGGGGGAGAGGCAAGGTACACTCATGTGTGTGGGTTGGTCAAGTCAAGTGGATGCATTAATCTCAGAAGCTCCCCTGGAAGACTTAAAAGAGGCTAGCTGTTCCTTTGGTTTTTTTTTTTTTTTTGGACACAGGCCTTCCAAATCTAACTTTTCAAATCCCTGATTGAATTCCCAGCAATCTACTTTTCCTGACTATAACCAGAAAAGCATGTTTAAGTGAACATGAAATTCCACCAGTATAAAGCCTCGCGCAGCCCAGTCCACTAGCCCAGTCACCAAAGCCGCTAATAATGCCCTATTGTGTTACTGTGGTATTTTCTAGGTTATCATTATGAAGTCTTTGCTCCTGGTTGAGAAAACATGACATTCCATTAAATGTATAATCTGGGTTCCCTCCAGGCCAGAGATGTATCCTGCTTAAAGCTGAAATGAGATGAGATTTAATGTCACGGAAAAGAACCAGTCGCATGGGGAAAGGGAGTCGCAATGGTGGGGAGAAGAATGGTGGATCCTGTCCCCTGTGAGCCCTTGGTTTCAGCCTGTAGACAGTGTCTTGCCAGCCAAAGGATCTTAGAAGCCCAAGGAAAAAACAAGTCAGCATTCTTTCCCTTTCCACTATGCTGTGGTTGGGTGCTGGACAGCACTGTTTGAGGAAGTTCTTTCTAGGATAGAAGATCATGTCTTTAGAGACCACCCAGGGGTCTGTTTGCCATCTCTGCCTTTTGGCCGATCCCCCAGCTCTGGCCTCAGAAAACTCATAAATTAGCCTGGATCAAGATGGCAAGCTGGAGGTATGCACACTGTCATACCAAGTGGTAGCAAGTTTTTAATTCAGCACAAAAGTATCCACCTCTTCAAGCAACAGGAAAACTAAAGGAAGTCAGAGGCACCCACCTGAATGTAAAGGTAAATACCTGTAAAGGTCTCCTAACTATTTTTTTCCTGGAGCATTTTCTGGGTCTTCAATGTGCTTCGAAGGATCCTGTGGTACATTTAGAAATTTACTCCAGGATTAAATACAAAAGCAATGGCATCCTTTGTAACAGTGAGGGGCTTGGAACTTAGCATGATGGTTGGAGACCCTCTCTACACTTGACATAATTTTTTAAAAACTGAAAATAACTTATTTTTGTTGAATATAAAAATAATATATATTCTTTACAGAAAAATTTGAAAATTCAGTAAAAGGTAAAAACAGAATTTAAAAATCTGATCTTCTAGAAAGAACTACTATTAGCACATTGGGTAAATACATACATGTGTGTGCTTAACCTTTTTCAAAGGTGGAATCACAATGCGTACAATGTTTGGTAACTTCACCTAAAAGCATGTTGTAAACATTACATATTTCTCCTAAATCGTTTATAAGCATGAATAATGCATGATACATACTAAATACTATGCATATATTATGCCTTACTTAGTAAATCTCCTATTGTTGAACACATAATTTTCAGCTTTCATAAACGGCACTGCCATGAGCATGCAGGTAGGTATATCTTTGTGACTGTTTGGATTTTTTCTTTAGGACATGGAATTGCTAGATGGAAAGGCAGACACTTCATTTTTTACAAGCATTTGACACATGTTGCCAAATTATCTTGTCTGCTCTATCCAATATAGTAGCCACATGTGGCTATTTAAGTTTAATTAAACTTTAATAAGATAAAAAATTCATGTCCTTAATCACTCTAGTCACATTTCAAGTGCTCAACAGTCACACATGGCTAGTAGCTACTGTACTGGACAGCACAGATACAGAACATTTCTGTCATCCTAGAAAGTTCTACTGGACAGCGCAAGTCTAGAAAGACTATACCAATTTATACTTTCCCTCGTAAGATATGAAAATGACTACTTCCCACAAATTGTCCAATACCAAATATTGTAATTCTTTAAAAATCTTTGCCAACTTAATAAAAATAATATTGTTTGATTTTTTTCATTTCTTCGATTACTAGTGAACTTTTTTATTCTTTTATTGACTTACATATATACTTTTGTGAATTATGCAGTAAGGCTATTTTCTATAGGGCTTTTTTTTTTACTGCTTTTTATATATTAAAATCAATCTTTAGGGAGTGACTTATGTTACAAAAGTTACTGTAACTTCTTGTATTAATGGCATTTTTTTTTACCTACAGAAGTGTAAAACTTTAATCAAATCTTTTTATTTTCCTTTATGGTTTCTGCTTATACTGTTTTAAAAGCTCTAAACCTAAGATTATAGTTATATTCATCAATTATCTTCTTGTTTTTTGACCATTTTATTTTAAACATTTAGATTTTCAGTCTTTCTGGAATTTATTTTGGTGTGTGGTATAAAGTATTAATCTAACCTTTCTCTTTCTTCATGTTATCAACAACCTGTCCAAGAACTATTTTTTTAAATAATGGATTTATTACCTCCTAATTTGAAATTCTACTCAAAGCTTATATGTACTTGGATCTATATGCACTTGTTTTTCTAGATTTTTCTTTTCTGTCCACCTATTATTTGGCTTTTACCGTCCTGTTTTTATTAATTTGCCTTATAATACATTTTAATATTTGGAGAAAAAGCATTTCTTCATTATTCTTTTCCAAAAATATTTTGGGTTTTTTTACCTGCTTTTTCTCTAAGACAAGCCTAGAATCATTTTGTTAAATTCCTATCACCAAAACAAATTCTCTCAGAACTTTGACTGAAAGTTTAATTCAGTTTATAAATTAATTTGAGGAGAACTGGTTATCCCCACAGTACTGAGTCATTCCATTGAGGGACAGGGTGTTTCTGTCCATTTTTTCTTTTTCCCATCTGTCCTTTGGAACTGGTTTTTTTAAAAGCACGCATGATGGGCATCTCTAACTCTTTTCAGACACTATCTCTGAGTCTGTGAGCTGGTGCCCCCAGTCACTAGAATTAACAAAAGAAATTCCATTTTCTTAGCATTGGAGTATATTTTCAGTATCCACCTTCTCATAAATCTGCAAAAAAAAAAAAAAAAAAAGAGAGAGAGATCTCACTTTTCATCCAAAGAATCTGGAGTTCAAAACAGCCTTTACGGAAAAATCAAACTCCAGAGGCAACTGCAAAGCACATTTGGTGTCTAGCTGGCCAGCTTATTTTGCAGGACTCTTTTTCCAACTCCCAAATACTTTCCAGTCTGTGAAATCCATCTCTCCACCACTGCAACAGCAAGCGCCTCTCCTGGCACTGGGGAGCTCACACAGATTTAATGAGCATGGATCTTCTACCAGGAGCTTTTCATCGCTGAAGCTGGTTTTTAGGAGATAGCATGAAGCTTCCTTGAATGACTGTGGCTTGGCAAATCTTTGGGGATTTGGCAAGTGTTTTATTGGTCAGAGTTCAGCTCTCCCTTGAGCAAATCCTGAAGCCTAACCACTATCCATCTTTGTAAAGGAACCAGGGTTCCTGCACCTCCCTGGTAGCCCACCAGTCAAATGGCCAAAAGCTGTATTCCCCTACATCTGGGTTTCTCAAGCCAAAGGGGAGGAGCCTTTGGCGGCGTCTGGAGGCATTTTGGGGTGTCACCACTAAAGGGGAAGGGGAAGGAGTGTTGCTGGCATTAAATGGGTAGAGGCCAGGGATGCTGCTAAACATCCTACAACGCACAGGACAGTCTCCACAACAAAGAACCACCAAGCTGAAATCTCAGTATTGCCGAGGTTGACAAATCCTGCCTTATATTTTTACCAACTACCCAGTCAAAGCATGCATTATAGTATTAGAAACAAAGGCGATGCTTTCTGTGGAACAGCGTTTTTAAAAATGAGACAATTGACTTTAAAATGCCCACGCTTCTTGCTTTAGAAGTGCCTGCAAGTTCTGCCTCTAGTAAAGCAAGCCTTTCTCACCAAATGGGAAGGATTCACGGAAACTTAGTAAGTCAATAGCATCCTTCAAGTCCTTCGCACGCTCCGCCGTCACAGAAAACACAGCAGAAAAGAAGTTCGTCCCCCCAAACAAACCCCGTCGCCTGCCCTGCGGGCTCGGGCAGCGGAGGATGGGAGGAGCGCTCTCCAACAAAGGCGCAGCGCTCGCCGCAGCCGCCTCCCCGGAGATGCGAGCCTGTCCCAGCGCGACCCCGCCAGCAGCCCGGCCCGCGGAGAGCGCATCACCTCCAGCTCAGCCCGGGGTGGAACAGCTCGCGGCACTTACTTGTCCAAAATGAAGTACAGGTCAAATCCCCCGTAGCAGGCTGGACCCCCGTCCTCCCTGCGTCCCCCTTGCCCGGCGCAGATGAGCACGAGAGCGGCCAAAGAGAGCCACTGGAAGCCAGCGCCGACGGCTTTCTGCTCCGCCGGGGCCATGACCCGCAGCGCGGGGAGAGGCAGGGTCCTCTCCTTCCCACGCTCCGCGAACTCGCCGCGACCCTCAGGGACGCGCCATCCGAGGGCCCCTCCTCTCGGGTCCTTTATTCCCCCTCGCTCCCTTGAAACTCCCCGGAAGCGATTGTCTGGAGGAGTTCAAGGTTTTCCCTCTGGTTTCCGCTTCGATTCTGTTTCTAGGTTTCGGGTTTCAAGAATCCCAATACTGTACTCCGCGTTTTTAAAGGGGCTGCTCCGGGCTCGGGCCGCTGGGCCGCTCCCGAGACCGCGCCGAGATTTTGCAATGGAAGCAGTTCCGTCCTGGCTGTTCTTTGTCCCAGATCTTAAATATTATGGGGTGGGATTTCAAATTGTTCTTGCTTGGGGGAGTGCTTCGCCTTTCCTCCCTCCTCTCTGCCCCCCTTTCCCATTTTCACGGGGAAGAAAGTTCAAAGGGCGCCACCTTGTGGCCAGAGACAGCGGAAGCGCGCTTCGCGTCCGCGGGCGAGTGGCCCGGGCGGGGACACCTCCAGGCTTCGGCTGTGAATCCCCTTTCCCTTATCATTTTCTTGTAAGCTGTGCATGTTTTCGTACTCCTTCCTTGTTCTCACGCACCTTCCCTTCCTTTTTCCATGACCACTTCTCCCTTCTCTCTAGCGTTTTAATCCCTTCTCTTCCTTGCCATCCTCCATCTGCTGATACGGTCCCTATAAACATTCGGTGAAAACTTATTTCCTCTACGCACGGTGGCTGTGACCCCGGACTGGGACCTTTGCAAACAAGCCATTGTGCAAATTAAGTAGGGAAAAACGGGGCCTTTGTGATCTGAATCATCCGAGTGACCTTACATAGTCTTAGCGCAGATCATAAAACAGACTGTTGGGAGTCCAGTCTGAAAGCAGCACAAACAGTCCCGCAGAGCGTGATACTTCGGGCTGCTCTGAGGACGGAACAGCTGAGCCTTCTAGATTGCTGTCGTCTCCATATTTTGGAGATTCTGTGATAACAGTTCTTCTTTTCAGCCTGTGAACTTTGACTTTTCCTTTCTGCCTTTGATTTGGAACAGAGGAAGTAAATAGCCTACAAGAGTATAGATGGTCCAGGCAGTTTGTGACTGCTGGTAAATCGGAGAATCTTCTTTGGAGTGGCTTCTGAGCCCCAGTTCCAGATGGGACCACAGTTCTAGTCCTCCATGTCTTCCACTCTAGGAGTCCTCAATGCACACTGCAGCTCCATTCTGGGCGATTCTTCCTCCAGACACATGTCTTGCCCTCCACTTGTGAGCCTCAAAGACCCTTACACCTCAGTGTGAGCATCCATCATAGTTTTCCCCCAACACGTGCACCATGGAATCCTAGTGTCTTGGAATGCTCCGCTGATCAACAATCGTATTGTCAAATCAGTCTTGGAGATTCATAATGCATTCACTTGGGCGCCTCCAAAATGAACCCCACCCCCACCCCTGTGTCCCTCACCTCCTGATTTGCACACCTCTCCCACATTGAATAAGACTGACCTGTAAGTAATTAATAAGACGCTGTCTGATTTCTGAGGCTAGACCACAAGCAATATTGGATCAGTCACTCTGGGGGAGCCCAGTGCCACATCGTGAGAGCACTCAAGCAGCCCATAGGAGTTTGTGTGGCAAGAAACTGAGATCCTCTGCTAGTGTCAACATTTGCCAGCCATGTGAGCGACCCATTTTGGAGGTAGATCCTCCAGCTCCTGTGAAGCCTTCAGAGGACTGCAGCCCTGGCTGCCACCTTGACTGCAACCTCACAAGAGACCCCAAATCAGAATCACTCAGCTAAGCCATACCCTGATTCCTGACCCACAAAAATTACAAGATAACGTGTATTAGTCTTTTAAACCCCTAATTTTTGGGGAAATTTGTTATGCAATAATAGATAACTAATAAATGCCTATTATCACATTAAAGCTGTGAGAATTTCTGTAGGAAAAAAATTGTTTAACTATGTTTCCCAGACTGGACCATGAAAATGTTCTTTTCAGATAATACCTATTATACCCGTACTTTGGGATACGGCTCTCAGGAAAAAATGATTGAGGGGGAGATGAAGATTTTAATCTTAAAATACTCTAATCTATCCAAGTCTCCCTCTTTCATACCTTCTTGCCCCTCTTCAAAGGATTGAAAACCCATTCTGGCCCCATTGCAGCTCTGTGACAAGAAAGAAATCTATAGAAATTATATGGGTAAAGGAAGGCAGGAAAACCAGGGACCTTAGGGAAGAAAAGGAATGTGAGGTAGGACAATATGGTAGAGAGCATGTTTATGGGATTGGCAAGGAATAGGAAAAGGGCTGAATGTAGAAAGGGGGTTGAGGGGCAGGAAGAATCAGAGAGGCTTTAAGAATGTTTTCCCTTGTCCTCATGCTTGCAGGGCCCTCTGAGGTTGTTTAGAGTTTGAGTGACAGAGGAATGTCTTGAGAGCTTTACAGGCAAAAGAGTTTAGTGCCAAATTCCCTTGGGAATAGAAGGAAAAGCCCACGGGGAGGGGGTGGAGCAAGATGGCTGAATAGAAACCTCCAGCAATTGTCCCTTCTCAGGAACTCCTAATTCAACAACTGTCCAAGCACCTTCCAATGAACCAAAAATCAGGTGAATGATCATACTACCTGGATTTAACATTACGTCAAAGAAAGGGGCACTGAAGAGGGCAGGAAAGACAGTCTTGCATTGCCTATGCCACCCCTGCCCCATCCCTAGGCAGTGCCGCATCACCACACTGGGTGGAGAGAGAACCTCTGCCTGGGGGAAGGAGAGTGAAGTGATTGTGGGGTTTTGAATTGAAACTTAGGGCCTCGCTGGCACAGAACACAGCACAGGGTGGAATTCTGCTGTTGCCCATGGAGGAAGCATTTTGACTAGCTCAGCCAGAGGGAAATTCTCTGCCTGGCAGCCCGAGTTACTGCGAGCCCCACCACGGGCAGAAAAAGAGCAGCCTGGGGCCTGGACTAAATTTGCAAGGCAGTCAGGCCACAAGGGCTGCAGTCCTTGGGCAATTCCTGTGGCACAATTCCTGTGGCTGTTCTGGCTCAGAATCAGTGGACTTGGGGTGCACATGACCCAGTGAGACACCAGCACCTGCTGCCAAGTCAGTGCCTGTGTCACCCCTCCCCCAACTCCAGGCAGCATGGCTCAGCGAGAGTCTTCTTCCACTGGAGAGAAAAGGGAAGAGCTCAGAGGACTTCGTTTGGCAACTTGGGTACCAACTCAGCCACAGTAAAATAAAGTACCAAGCAGACTCTTGAGGCCCCTGAATCCAGGCCATAGTTCCTGGACAGTGTTTCTGGACCCACCGTGGGCCAGAAAAAAACATGCTACCTTGAAGGGAAGGACCAAGTCTTGGTAGGATTCACCACCTGCTGACTAAAGAGCCCTTGGATTTTGAATAAACATCAGAGGTAGCCAGGCAACAGTCACCACTGGCTTTGGGTGAGAATGGGGTGGCTTCGGGTGTGACCTGGAGCAGGTGGCCACGAGGGAGTGTTCACATCACTCCTCCCCCAACTTCAGCAGCCCAGCATAGAGAGTGAGAGAATAGAATGAGAGACTTTGCCTGGTAATCCAGGGAATTCTCTCGTGTCTTACCCAAGCTCACCAAGGTGGTACCACCAGGAGTTTGCAAGAGTCATAGCATTACTGGGCTTGGGTCATCCCTAGTGCTGATGAAGCTGCAGGGACCAGAGACTTAGACCACAACAGTAATTCCATTTGAGTATCTGGAAAGCCTTCTCAAGAAGGATGAGTTCAAACAAGCCCCGACTGTGAAGATTAAAATAAATACCTAACTCTTTAATGCCCAGACATTGATGAACATCCACAAGCCTCAAAAACATCCAGAAAGACATGACCCCACCAAACAAACTAAATAAGGTATCAGTGACCAATCTTGGAGTGATGGAAATGGGTGACCTTTCAGACGAAGAATTCAAAATAGCTGTCCTGAAGAAGCTCAGTGAACTTCAAAACAACACAGAGAAGGAATTCAGAAGCCTATCAGAGAAATTTAACAAAGAGATTGAAACAATAAAAAAGAAATCAAGCAGAAATTCTAGAGCTTAATAATTTAATTGACAAACTGAGAAATGCATTAGAATCTCTCAATGGCAGAGTTGACCAAGAAGAGAGAATTAGTGAGCTTGAAAGTAGGCTATTTGAAAATACACAGTCAGAAGAGAAAAAAGAAAAAAAGAATAAATAATAATGAAATATGCCTTCGGGATCTAGAAAATAGCCTCAAAAGAACAAATTTAAGATTTACTGGCCTTAAAGAGGAGGTAGAAAGAAAGATTGGAGTAGAAAGTTTATTCAAAGAAATAGTAAAAGAGAATTTTCCAAATCTAGAGAAAGATATCTATTCAGATACAAGAAGGTCATAGAACACCAAGCAGATTTAACACAAACAAAGCTATCTCGAGGCATTAAATAATTAAACTCCCAAAGGTCTTGGATAAAGAAAAGGTCCTAAGGGAAGAAAGAAAAAAATAACATACAAAAGAGTTCCAATATGTCTGGCAGCAGACTTCTCAGTGGAAACCTTACAGGCCAGCAGAGAGTGGCATGACATATTCCAAGTGCTGAAGGAAAAAATCTTTAATCCTGCAATATTATATCCTACAAAAATATTCTTCAAAGGAGAAATAAAGACTTTTCAAGAAAAACAAAAGCTGAAGGATTTTTATCAACACTAGACCTGTCCTACAAGAAATGCTAAAAGAAGTTCTTCAATCTGAAAGAAAAGGATATTAATGAACAATAAGAAATCTTCTGAAGGTATATGACTCACTGGATACAGTAAGTATACAAATACAGAATACTCTATTGCTGTAATTGTGGTGCATAACCCACTTATATCTTGAGTAAGAAGACTAAAAGACAAACCTGTCAAAAATAACAACAACTTTTTGAGAGATAGTATAAAAAGATATGGATGGAAACAACAAAAATTTAAAAAGAGGGCCAGGGGATGGAGTTAGAAGGTAGAATTTCTATTAGCTTTCTCTTTGCTTGTTTGTTTGTAAGCAGAGCTGTCATATGTTTAAAATAATTGGTTATAAAATGTTTATTGCAAGCCTCATGGTAACCTCAAATCAAAAAACCTATAACAGATACGCAAAGAATGAAAAAAAAATTAAAACACACTGCTAGAGAAAACCACTTTTAACAAAGGAAGACAGGAAGGAAAGAAGAAAGAAAGAGAGGACCACAAAACCACCAGAAATCAAATGACAACACGGCAGTAGGAGACCGTTGGAGACCTCAACAGTCCACTTTCAGCATTGGACAGATGATTCAGACAGAAAGTCAACAATGAAACATTGGACTTAATCTGCACTATAGACCAAA